GGTTTTTTCTGTGCAAAATGGTGGCTCGAAGCCCCCCCGGATCCCGGTCAAGAGTAGGCGTACGATACGGTTACCGTATCACGCCGGGAACCTACTGCAATGTTTGACTCTTGAGTGGCTCACCTAGGCGCGCAACACGAGTACCGCCGCCCTCACTGTGTCTTTTATGGTTTCAACGCGTCGCCACCTCACTCGCCACAAGTGACACCCCGCAGTGCCTGCGCCAATTACCGGTATCATACGCTGCCATATCATAATATTATGATACTGCACCAGCAGCCAGTACTGAGTACGGGTACAGTGCTCGAGCACTGGTACCGATAACTTACCCTATCCAGCCAAAGTTGCTGTAAACAAAATATGATGTATCTTCGTTGTAGTCTACCGTATGATACGGTACCGGGCAGGAGGCTAACTTAAGGAAAAGAAAAAGAGCCCCTCCGTCATTTTTCTCGTGTTTTCTATCATTTAGGACACCCCCCCCACCAGCTATCGGTACCGCACTGTACTAGTACACAAACAACCTCCCTCACCCCTTCTCCCCCTCTCTGAACCCTCGCCAACACTTCCCAACAACCTCTTCACCCCCCCCCCCAACCTCGCACCTTACCGAAAGCTGTACCTGCTTTCCCCCCCTTCTCCAACCCTCACAACGATCTCCCTCTCTCCCAGGAAGAGAAGGGAAAGGACAAAAAAAAAAGCCACAAGCCCAACGGTACCTGCCTGCACGCCCTCAAGATGTTTATGCTCAGAGGTGTGGGCAAGTACATCTTTGGTGACTCCACGAAACAAGATATCATCCAGCTCGATCAAGGCCTACTCTATATAGTCCGTCCAAACTCGGTTAAGGGCTACAGCGAATGCATGTAAGCAGCGTACTAACAGAATCTGCATCCTACAGCCGCGAACCCGATGCTGACCATTCATCCAGCTTTAAGGATGCAGCAGCTACCATTCGGAGAACCTCGACCCATTACCATTACCAGCTTGTTATCCAGAGAGCTTACGAAGAAGGCGAGGAAGAGCTTGTTGATGATGCCGAAGATGTTGACGATACAAAGGATGAGAAAACTTTCCTGTTGGATGAGAGCCTGCACCTGCGATCTACAATCAGGGACGGCCAAGCTGTGTTTGCATGGAGAGATCTCAGCGGGGTGAGTTCTCCAATCTATTGTTGTTACCCCACAACCCCTCGATCGACTAACTCGCCGTAAGGACCCCGGTGATCTTTACGAGTTTATCTGTGACCCCAGTGCACAACCTAGCTCCGTGCATATGTTCGAGCTTGTAGCTATCCAGTGCCAGTTTGAGAGAAGGTACAAAAGGAGCCATGAGACGGCTACCGAACAGGAATTGCATCAGTTCTCTTTCTCGTGAGTCACCGGGCCCCCTATCACATCGAGTGCACCGAGCGATCGTTGACCTATGCACCGCAGTGATGCACCGATTCCTTCGGCCTCCTCCACCGCCGTTTCTCCTACTGCCCAGGTCAGGAAGGCTCCCGAAACTCCCGCGAGGAGGAGTAGGAAGCAACTGCCCGCCTTGGCGCCCACCGTTGCCCCAAACGCGATGCCTGCTCCTGAAATTCAGGAGATACTTACCCGTGAAACTGCGGAATTACATTTGTTCGATGTATCCACCGGAACCTTTGTGTTGCAAGAGCAAAAGGTCACTGCGACTGTGAGCGAGGTTGGGCAATGGCAATGTAGATTCCCCTTTAATGACTTTGATCGTCGAGTTCTGACACCACTCTGTAGACTGGCTCGACATCGAAGGCCAAAATAAAGTCTGGCTTGGTCAGCCCGTGATCGCCGACATTAATCCTGTCTTCAATTTCGAGTATCTCTCCTTCATCTTCAATCACCACACGGATGATGGCTCCTATTCCTGGCTCCTGCGCTTTAAGGATATGGAGACCGAAGAGAACTTTCAGGAAGGTCTAATGCGTGCCCTTTGGGAACAGCTAAATGAGCAAAAATGGATCAAAGCCAAGGACCAAGAGCGTGAATATGTTCTCGAGGCCTTCCAAGATATCACCATGGAAGACGCCCCGGAAGGGGAAGAGGAGGAGGAGGAATTCGAGGACGTCGAAGAACATCTTGACAACCAGAGCGAAGAGTATGACACCGACGAGGAAGAGGACGACACTCACGTCAAGGGAAAACAGAGCGATGGCAAGGAAAATAGTCAATTGGCCGTTGGATACAAGCACGACAGAAGCTTCGTCGTTAGAGGTAGTAAGATTGGCGTCTTCAAGCACACCGCCAACAACGAATTGGAGTTTCAGACCAACATCAGCAAAGTCCAAACTCCGAAGGGAAAGCTATTTGAGCCCAAAAAGGTTTGTAATCTACTTGGGCTTAAAAAAAGAAAACAAAAAGACTCCAAGCTAATATGGTTCCTAGGTTATGCTACATGGTGAGGATACCGGTTTGATCATGCAAGACGAGAACAATCCGCATAGTTTATACAAGATGGATTTGGAATATGGAAAGGTGGTTGACGAATGGAAGGTCCATGAGGACATCCCTATCGACATCTTTGCTCCTGAGAGTGTATGTCCTCCCAGATACCCAATACTCTATTGACAAGCTCAAGATCCGCTGCTAACCAAAACTATCAGAAATTTGCTCAAATGACCAATGAGCAAACATTCCTAGGATTATCCCACAATGCCCTTTACCGTGTGGACCCTCGTTTGAGCGGTAATAAACTTGTTGACTCTGAGCTCAAACAATATGTCTCAAAGAATGACTTTTCCGCTGCGGCAACCACTGAGAAGGGATATATCGCAGTTGCATCGAGCAAGGGTGATATCCGTATGTTCGATCGTTTGGGAATCAACGCGAAAACACATATCCCCGCTCTAGGCGAAGCAATCTTTGGCCTTGACGTTTCCGCCGATGGCAGATGGGTTCTCGCAACTTGTAGAACCTACATTCTACTCATTGACGCCCTCCAACAGGAAGGCAAGAATGAAGGAAAGCTCGGCTTCGAGAAGGCTTTCCCCAAGGATGCAAAGCCTCGTCCTCGGCGCCTCTGTCTCAACCCCTCTCATGTCGCGCAGATGCAAGCGGAGACTAGGAAGCCCCTCTCTTTCACTGCTGCCAAGTTTAACACCGGCCTCGACGCTGACGAGACCGCCATCATTACTAGCACTGGCCCTTTCATGGTCACGTGGAATCTAAAGAGAGTCGTCGCCGGGAAGAGAGATCCATACACCCTCAAGAGGTACGCTGAAGAAGTCAAGGCTGATAACTTTCGTTTTGGCAGCGACAAGAATGTGATTGTCGCACTCCCCAACGAAGTCAACATGGTTGGGCGCCAATCGTTTAAGAAGCCAACTAGAGAGAGTATTTCCACTCCGGTTCGACAGTTGAGGAGTCGCGATATCATCGTCAATAGCCCTTACTAGCCTTACTAGCTTCGACAGTTGCCAGGCTCAATATATTTTCCCCCCTTTTCTTTTCGCTGTTTTTGTAGCGCTAGCTCCTTCAGTGGTTGCTTGATTGATAGCCTTTTTTTTTCCCCCCTTTACGCCCCACCCGACACGTGACGGGGTGGTGTATGTAGTGTTATCTAGTGTACTAACGATATGACCTGATGTGACACGATAGCTCGTGGCCTTTTTCTTTATTTATTCTTCTCTCTCCCTCAGTATTTCTTTTTCTTTTCTTTTGCCATCTACTGATGCTGGATGAGATTACCTGTATGAGGGAAGAGACGACCACAAAATGTGATGCTTAGTATAATTAATGGCACGCACTGTAATCCGGTTCATTAAGCGTGATTAAGTGTCGAGCGGGTAAGCAATCGCAATTGATCTTATCCTATCATAATATTGTCACTGGACAAGGGTGAAAATCATGAAGCATCACTCGACTCTCGACACAGTCCCGGACCAAGAATCTGTCGGGTATGGTGTAATTTTGTTTTGATGATGTGATACCGGTATTGCCATAACATCCCCGCGTTATAACATAGCAAAGAGTTGCGATACAGGGAACAGTACAGTACAGGCCACACCCAAGGCACACCCCCACCCCACTTACGCTACCCCTTCACACCTAGCCGCTGGCACATCCAAACGCCCATCAACCCACCCGCAGGGCATTACACACACCCCGCAAGTCCCACCGACCCGGCCACCACGCTCTAGTCCCTCACCGCACACGCGGATGCATGTAAAATCCGTCCCGAAAACTTAATCCTCCCCCCACCCCTTTATTTTATCATAGAGTGTTCTGCGAGGGTCTAAACCTGGTGGTGGTGATTTTTTTTGTTGATTTTTTTTCTCCGGTAACGATGGAATGTTGCTTAGTCGTGGCGGTCTAGTGTGCAGTCACAAAGTATCACTCGTTAGAGTACCCATTGGACTATTTGACTGGTGAACGATTGGGTTGGTTGTTGTTAGAGGGGGGCGAGTGGGAGGTTTATCGTGCTCTGGAGAGGCGATCCCCCGCGATGGTGCTTGGTGCGATGGGGAATTGATGTGTGGTTGGTTGGTGGGGGTTACCGTGAGGAGATTGGGGGAGGGGGGGGCGGCTGTGGGACTGGCTTCTGTGTTGGTATCGTGGTGTGTGGTCTGTATTCACTGTGCACAGCTAGTGGGACATAATATATACCCTTCGAGAAAAAATTTTCTCTTTGCGGGATTGATCTATTACCAAGCGTATGAAAATAGCTGGACCGCAACTATAGCGAGCAAACTGATGCTTCTCCATGTCGAAATTGCCGGCGAGGAAAGGGGCTACATAATACTGCAACGCCACCGTAGCTAGCTAGCCTGATATTAATACATCGCATCGAATCGCGCCTCGGTATTTACCATTAGACTGTCGCGAGCGGCGGCGGGAAGGGAAGGAGGAAAGAAAAAAAAATAAAAATAAAAAAATAAGACAGAAAATCTACCATCCCTTCCCCCAGATCCCAACCCATACACGATACCAACCAAGTCTTAGGAAAGAGATGGGGCAAGCGCCGGTCTACTATATCAACACAAGGTATCTATAACATACATAACCATAACATCATATATACCCTCCCAACCTGGACTATCGTACAATCTCCCCAATCGCAATCTCCAACACCATCTAGTATCAGTAATAAACTCCCTCTTTTTCTAACGTTCGGGCTCTGGCGACTCCCAATCCGGACTAGCCAAGAACTCGTGTTGGAGCGCTTCGACTGCGGAGGAACGTTTAGCGGGGTCCAGCTCGAAGCATCGTTGCAAAAACTTGATCGCGAGGGCCTCGTCCTGGTCAAGCTTTGCGTCGTCTTTGTTATCCTTTGAGGAACCGGTTGCTGTACGGTTTGTTGCCCACAGGACAATCTTTTCCAGGGTGAAGCCACGCTCGCCGATCGTTGGGATGGTGGATTCGAAGACGCAGCCTGGATTTATTAGCAATCACAGGAGCCAGGGCGGAGAGGATGCTTACCGTGAAGGGCTGCGCATTGCTTCATTCTCTGCTTGCCGAAGATGGTCGCTATCTCAATCATGGCGTCGACATCGTCTGAAGAGTTGAAAAAGGGGAAGCGGCGAGAGAGAATCGTGAGGAGGATTACGCCGGCGGACCATATATCAATTTCTGGCGTGATGTCAATTTTGTTTATATCCTGGAAAAGATTGGGCAAAACTGACTTGTGGTTTGGTTGGTGCATTTGAAGAGTACTTCAGGTGCCCTAAAGCCTCTCGTGCCGGCGCGGTTCGCTCTTCTGGATGGTCTTTTTTTTCGCCACTGTTAGAGGGAGCACCACTCTTAGAGCTAGAATCTTCCATGACAAACCTTGTTTCATGCTTTGGATAGCCAATAGAGGGGGCTAATGTGGGTGGTCGGTGGTCCTTTCGATCGGTCGTGGAATGCTGGCACATGCAATATTGTGAGTCTGTTCCTTCTCGCTATGGTGCCGGGTATAAACAATTAGCTAGTACGCAAAGTATTGAAAGAGATGGTAGAAGGTAGCATACCTCTGCAAGGCCAAAATCCACGAGAACACCTCTACCATAACGGTAATCGTATAAAAAGTTCCTAGCATCCCACATCAGCAGAATGGCCACGGCTTGGGCATCGCCGATGACATACGTTGGCTTTATATCACGGTGGATTATGCCATTGGCATGCACGTGAGCGAGTGCCCTGAATAAGGACCTAAAGTAAGATCGGATGTGAGGTATCGTCAACTCCCTAAAGTATTCCTGTATAAGCAAACCATGTCAGTCCTATCATACGTTATTATAGTCCAGACGTAAAGAGAGAAACCCACCCGGAAGTCCACATGTTTGAAATACGGGAGCACTGCTACAACTTGGTCTTGGTAGCGGAATGCTGTGATTAGCGGCACGACACTATCGCACCCAGAGAGATCATGCAGTAGTTCCAGTTCGTTCTGGATTCGAGAGGGGGAGCTGGTAACATAAATCTTCTTGATTGCAACGTATTTCGGACGAACAGGCTCAATATCATTGTTTCCATGCCCTGTCCGTCGCTTCTTTGACGGTGGGGCTGCCCATCTTGCCTCATCTTTATAATCAATGTCCCAACTGTTATCGTAGTGATCGTACAGTAAATCCTCGGCTTTATACACCGAGCTGAAAGTACCTACAACCAAGGTTAGCGGCAGCTCTCTGGTATAGCGGCCCTTTGAATTCTACCTTCACCTATTTTATTTACCAAACGGTAGCGCTTCTCGAATCCCTTGAATGTATGAGCAAATCTCTCCATTTCTTCAGAAATTGCCGGGTCAATTCTGTCCGGGTCATCGCTGTTCTCCTCTGAAGAGGCACTTGAGGACACAGACTGAGCATCTTCTTCACCTTCGACATCCTCCTGATCGCTGGCCTCTTCCACCATTTCCTGTTCGCGCTTCCTACGATAATTTGCCTCCCTGCGCTTGTCCTTAGTGGGTTTCTCCCTCCTGTCATACTCCTGATCTTCACCGTCCGATTCCTCGCCAGTCATATATTCGTCAATCTCATCTCCAGTCATGTCTAGCTCAGCTCCATCACCTTCGGCCATTTCAGTTTCGTACACTTCCTCGTCCTCCGCTGCCTCGCCATCCTCTTCATTATGATCCCTTCTCCCAACCTCTGAAGGCTCTTTCAATTCCACAGTGTCATCCTCATCCCCATGCTCACTCTCACCGCTGGTATATTCGTTGTCTGGGTTGGTGCTAGTGGCGGGCTCAGTGGTTGCAGACACGGCTTGTTTGCTGGGCGGCATACTGTTGTTGTTGCTGTTGAATAGGTGAGAAGCATGCATCATTTGAACATCCATGTATCTGGGAGGTGGGTGGGTACGGGAACCGTGTACCGAATGGGTGTGATGTGAAGAGGGCATGATAACGGGTTTAAGGGTGGACGCGTGGGCGGAGGTTTTGATAGGGCTTCGAAATGGGCGCGTGGATATAGGTTGTGGACCGAATACTTGTATGGTAACCTATGGACAAACAGCTTGGGAGATGTTGTGTTTAATCTAGGGCAGATGGAAGATTGTTTGGGGTTGGGGGAACAAGAATCCGTGGTTTCGGGGGAGGTATGCTATCGCGGGTTTGAGTCCCTGGTTCGTCGTGCTATCCGGGGGGAGGGGGGAGGTTCTCGGATGTTAAGTCTTGACAGCCAAGTTTAATCAAGTAAATAAATATTAAGTTAGACGCTAGCTTCATTCGCCCGTTCTATATTTTTTTTTTTCGAAAGCAATTGGGCGTGCTTGTTACCGCTATGAATACGAGTAACAGTAGTGTAAACATCATGCTTTAGTGATTCCATGTATGATATATGCTATATACTTTGGGGGAGCCGAATTTGTGTACAGTAGAGTCTTTGGAGGTCACCAAAGTACCTTATTCAGCGGGGTTCAAACTTTCTACACAGCGAATGGGCGAATTCACACAGTCTCCCGCTTGTCGGACTTGGAAAGGGAGGAAAAAAAAAACACAGACAGGCGCGTTGATTCTGTTCTTCAATCACGGGACTGCAGGTCAGGACCCCGCAACCCCACGTCCCCCCTGGAGCTGTGTCAACAAACAACGACAACAACAACACCAACAATATCCTATCTCACCTCCACAACTCACAGAAAAATCACCTCTCTAACCCAATCCTCTTTATCCGAATCAAGAAACCATTACTAGAGACGTTAAACGAGAACCCATAACCTTGGATCTTGGCCCACCATGGATGACGGCGAACGGGTCAGCTTCGACTTGAACGAATCGCTAAAATACTATAATGACAACCCAAACAGTGTACCGTGTACCGACGCCGACCCGGAACTGTTAGAGGCAGAGTCTGAGCCGGAAGCGCTCTCCAATGCCCAGATAAATCGAATACTTGAGCCTATAATTGATTCCATTGCAGTCAATCCCGATGCCATCACCCGTCCGTCAAATTTCGATTCCCTACAATGTCTCCTGAAGTACCTTCGCTCCTCCCGCTCCGCCTTACCCCCGGAGAAGTGCTAACGAAGAAAACCCCGTAGATATTTCCCCACAATCCCTACACAAGCTATCGGTAAGGTCCTCGACCTGATCGCCTCCGGCCTTTCCGCGGAGGCAGAAATTGCAAACCAGGACATCGAAGGCGAGGAGCAGGACACCCTCAAGGATCACAGGGAGCTTCTCGAGATGTATGGATTCCTTCTCCGGTGGGCTGTTACTGCTCTGGAGAGCCGCGCGGCAGACAAAGCCACCACCGCTGCGGCCCCTGTTGGACGGAAGGGGAAGGGGAAGGGGAGAGCGGCGGCTGCTAGTGGCTCTTGGGATTCTACAACACATCTTATCGTGGCTCTAGAGACGATGTGCAAAGTGCTGAAATTGAAGCTAATACGGGTGTTTGTTACCACATCGGAGAGGGATACGTTTGTCAGTTTATTCACAAAGCCTGTTTATATTGTTCTCGAAAGCGAGCAGCGGGTGAAAATTACAAATGTCAGAATGCATTTATTCAAGGTCTTGTGTATCTCTGTGAAGCACCATGGACACGCGTTTGGTAAGAATTATGCCCCACGGATGGAGGTGGCGTTCACTGAAAACAGCATCTAATTTTCTAGTCTACAGGCGCACAAACCTCTATTGTTCAAAATCTCACCTACTTCGAACATCTATCCGAGCCCATGGCGGAATTCCTGCAGATCCTTTCGGAGCAGTACGATTATCCACAGTTGGTGGACGAGATTTTAAGAGAATTGAGCAATAAGGAATTTAACAGCAATGACACAAGGGGCCCAAAGTCTGTATCGGGATTCATTTCAAAGCTGTCAGAGCTAGCTCCACGACTTGTCATTAAGCAAATGACTCTCCTCATTAAACTGCTTGATAGCGAGGTAACCAAATTCCCTCTCAACGATGATTAAGCAGTTTGCTTATACAGAACCCCGGCCCTGTTAGTCGTACAATCTTCGTTGTGCTGTTATAGATGTTTGTGGAAATCTTATTGTCGACCTAGCCAAGGAGGATGACGAGAGGGGTGACAGTAACAAAGCTCAGATGGAAGCTTTCTTCGATGTACTGGAAGAGCGATTCCTGGACGTTAACCCCTACTGTCGCTGCAAGGCTATCCAGGTTTACACCAACAAAATCCTTGAGTATGCTCAACTCCTACCGTATGCACCTATTGGTCACGATACTCACTAGGCGCAGGCTCGAAAAGAAATTCAACAAACGACGACAAAAGGTAGCAAACCTAGCCGTAAGGAGTTTAGAAGACAAGAGCAGCAATGTTCGAAGGAATGCTATCAAACTCTTGACCAAATTGATAACAGCCCACCCCTACAACCTCCATCATGGGGGTGTCCTTACACTCACGCTCTGGAAGACCGGACTACAAGTTGCCACTGCGAATCTCGATGCATTAAAACCCGCGATTGAGAACCCTCCTGTGGACCAGGAAGCTGGGAACGAAACAGTTGAATCCAATTTATATGATGAAGAAACGATGATTGAGGGCGGAGAGGGAACAGAGGGGGAAGAATCTAGGAAATCCCCACCTCCACCGCCTCCCCCGGAGGTCCCCGAGGTTGATAATTCGGATGAAATCATACGACTCAACCTAACAAGACGCTATTACCTTGAAGCTGTTCGATTCATCGAAGTAATACATGATGCATCTGAACATGTTTGCCAGCTTCTGTCTTCCAAGAATAAGAGTGAAGTTGTGGAAGCAATGGACTTTTTCAAGGTTCTCCACACTTATAAAGTAGAGAAAGCAAACGTTGGTCCACACTATCCTTTGATTGCCCCCTTCTTGGGGTGGATATGCTAACTGTCTTTCGGGCATAGGATGGGATTCGCCGAATGCTACGACTAATCTGGACTAAAGGAAACAGCGACGAGGGGAAGGGTATACAATCTCACCTTGTTGATATCTACAAGGCACTCTTCTTTGATGCTCCCCATGGGTTCAACGCGAACGAGGCCGCTACATATATCGCGCGGAATATGATCTCTCTTACGCAGGGGGATGTTACTCCCGCCGAACTGACATCGCTGGAACAATTATTGAGCAGAATGATGAAGGAGGGACATGTTTCCGATCTTGTGATTCACAAGTTGTGGCAAATCTATGGAGTACAAAATCGGAGCATATCCAAGAAGCAGCGCCGAGGGTCTATTGCCGTATTGGGCATGCTTTCCCTTGCAGACCCAGATATAGTTGTCCGGCAACTGGAGACAATCTTGAGGACTGGACTGGGGCCTTTGGGAAGGTCTGATTTGGTACTGGCTAGATACAGCTGTGCTGCACTTAGGCATATTAGCCCAAGTGGGCGGAAGGCTAAAGGTATGAACACGGGGTGTATATTTTGGTTGTAAATGACGCGTGCTGACTGCTTTCCCGCCTGTCAAGATACCCACACAGCTATGACAAAGCTTACAAACGATCATGCTATCTTGGTAAGATTGGCAGCGCTTGTAGAGCTTCAAACAGAGAACCAGGAATGGTATGTGATTTTCCTCCGAAATTTGACGCTGAACTAACAGTAGCTTGTAGGTTTGGAGTTGCGGAGCAGGCTATCAGCGCTATATATGCATTATCTAAGCACCCAGACGTGCTCTGTACAGAGGTGATACGGCGCAAAACTAAGGCTGTTTTTAGCCAACAGGAAAATCCTGCACCCGAGCCGGAACCGGAACCGGAACCAGCTCCTGCGGACGAAGATGTAGATATGATGGACATAGATGAAGCGCCATCATCACCTCCCGCGCAGACGCCTGCCGCTATTCACGAGCAAGAGGAGCCAAAGAAGGGGGGGTCTTCGTTTCCTTTGTCTCAACTAATGTTTATTGTCGGTCACGTTGCTGGTAAGGCCCATCCTAGGCCAGGACTGAGACGACATTCTAACTCCCGGAATAGTGAAACAGATTGTCCATCTGGAACTCATTGAATTAGAATTCAAACGTCGGAAAGGCGAAGCTGAAAAAAGTAACATAATGCTCTCGTTTGGTGATGATCCGTATTCTAACCTAGATGCAGATAAAGAGGCATCGCCGCAGAAGAAGGGAGGAGAGGAGCCTGATGATCTGGATCTCATTGGGGGTACCACTGAAGACGACTTCACCGAAGCTATGGGCATAATTAGGGAGCGCGAACTTCTATACGGCGAAAACTCGATTTTGTCAAACTTTGGTCCTCTGTGCGCCGAAATTTGTGCCAATAATATATCCTATAAGGTTTGCACCGCCTCTCCCTGACCTTCCAACACCCAGCGCTGATGCCCCAGAAGGATCGGACTCTCCAGGCGCAGAGCGCCCTTTGCATGGCGAAGTTGATGTGTGTGTCATGTATGTGATTGATGATATCCTATGTCTGAGTGCGCCGCTTGCTCACGACATACTTTCTAGCCGAATACTGCGAGTCCAACTTGCCGTTATTGATCACTGTCATGGAGTACTCTGTAGACCCTATCACCCGTAGTAACGCAGTGATAGCGCTCGGAGATATGGCAGTTTGCTTCAACCATCTAATTGACGAAAACACAGACTTCCTCTACCGCCGTTTGAGGGACCGTGATGCATCTGTCAAGAGGACGTGTCTTATGACGTTAACCTTCTTAATTCTAGCCGGTCAAGTCAAAGTCAAAGGCCAGCTTGGCGAGATGGCAAAATGCCTGGAAGACTCTGACAAGCGCATTGCGGACCTTTCTAAAATGTTCTTTAGCGAGCTGGCGACGAAAGATAACGCAGTCTACAATCATTTTGTGGACATGTTCTCACTACTCTCGGCCGAGAAAGATCTCAGCGAAGATGCCTTCAAGAAAATCATCAAGTTCCTGGCGACCTTCATCGAGAAGGACAAGCATGCTAAGCAATTGGCGGATAAGCTCGCGGCTAGGTTGCCACGATGCGATACTGAGAGACAGTGGAACGACGTTGCCTACGCGCTGTCACTCCTCCCGCACAAGAACGAGGAAATCGCAAAAACCCTCACTGCAGGATTCAGAGTTGTCCAGGCAAGTGCTTAAGATGGTCCATGGAGGCAACGCTATGTTTAAACGTGTTGGCACGATAAACATTATTATTGTACAATAGCTACCAGCTGATTATGTTATTCATGGAAAAATGGGCTGGAAGTTGGGTTATTCTAAACAAATACTTGGTGAAAGAAAGAAAGAAGAAAAAAAACCGTCCATAATGGCCGAGCTTCCATCTCTCGCGCTGCGGTACCGTATCTGTCATACGTGCCGCCATGTGTCACACGTCGCTGCTGTGCACACTCTCGTACTCGTCGCTGCTGTGCACGCTCTCGTGCTCGTGCTCGTGCTCCTCATGTTCATGTTCACAGCACTCATCATGCCCATGGTCTTGACACCGCTGCCCCTGCTGCTGCTGACTCTTCAACGGCAGCAGCAACCTAAACGCCGAATTCCCATTCAAATAATACCTATGCAATCGCTTACTCCGCAGGAAACCCAACCCTTCGTAAAGCCTCATGGCAGCGGTATTGGTGATCTCTGTCTCCAACGCTACCTACTCTCCCCCCGCGCCCAATTAGCCGCCAACGCCCACCCCCGGTGAGCATAAGTGATACCTCATCAGCATCCCTCTCGATCATAGCTTTGATCGCCATCTTGACCAGGTTCGTCGCGATCCCTTTACCCCGGTAACGTTCCCTAACAGCTAGCATGGCAATGTACCCGCGCATTGGCCCGCCGCGATGGGTCTCAAGCTTGCAGACCACGACGCCAATCATGGTTCCCTCGTCCATTGCCTACGGCCGCGTTAGCTATTGCGGGGGGGGGAGGGAGGGGAGGGGAACCATGTAGCACAGGTCTCCCCATTGATAGAGAAAGTAGCGGTAGACGTAGATGCTGTACGGCTCGGAAAGGTCAGTAGATATCAGCGTACGGATGGCCTCGAGCTGTCTCGGTTCTTGGGTTGCGTCGTAGGGGGTGTAAATTATTTCTGGCATTGTGTGGTGGCGGTTGGTGAGGCTCTGTTCGGATTATCTTTGGTGGTTGCGGCGGATTCTTTGGTGAAGAATGCAGGGATGTGGAATCCGGAATGGAGTTGCGCCATGTTGCTTTTTATCTGTTATAATACGACACTATGGAGGGAGGAAGGCATCATTGTTGGTTGCTGGCACTAGTAGCTACCAGGTTCTTCTCTCCCCCTTCCCTCCTCTCTCACTCTCTCTCACCTCGACCAACCGACCCTCTCCCTCTCAAGCTACTCGCTCTCCTACCCTGCCGCAATACTATTAGCCATACGGGGCATCGCATCATACATTCAACACCTACAGCATAACGAATTTACTGCATCATAATATCATCCAAAATCCATGCCCGTCAAGAGCCGCAAGCAGCAAGGTTCCCAAAATCCCTCGGAGCCCGAACCCGGTCATGATGCCGCAACTTCACCCTCGCCCTCCCCACTGCCGCCCCAGGAACCCAAAAAGACCAAGAAGCGCTCACTGGGCCTCACATTCTTCATCGGTGGCATCGCCGGCCTCCTGCTGGCCGGCTTCGCAGCAAAGAGCCAAGACTCCATGCAATTCATTTCCGAGCTGCGACTGGATGTTCTGGTCGACGTAATCCCGGCCGGCATTCTGAAGGAAGCGACGGAGATTTCGAAGCAGGAGAAGGATGCGGTTGGGCATGAATCTTTTCAGGTGGGACTTGCGTTGAAGGCGGAGGGCCTGACGGCTAGGCATCCGGTTGTCATGATACCGGGGGTTATTTCTACAGGTTAGTTCTCTGCTCTCTCTTGGCCCGCGGAGGTGGGGACTGACCGCGGGGTGTGGTGGCTTAGGGCAGTTATAATTCTATCATCTATGCTACGGGCGTGCGCTGACGAGTGACGGTTGTGGTGCTGGTTGGGGCGAGTAGATTGGAGAGTTGGGGAACTGGTGAGAAGAGTCGGCCGTATTTTCGGAAGAGGCTCTGGGGGTCTTGGAGCATGTTGCGGGCAATGGTTACTGATAGGGCCACTTGGAAGGTTCAACTTTTGTACATTCCGATGTTGCCGAAATGCTGCTTACGGATTGTGGTGGTGGTTAGGCGCATGTCATGCTTGATAAAGAGTCCGGCCTTGATCCACCCGGGATAAAGCTTCGAGCTGCACAGGGCTTCGATGCTACGGATTTCTTCGTCACTGGGTATTGCCAACATCACCGTGCTTCCTCCGGCGCCACCGCAGGCCCACAATGCTGGGCTTGAACTGACGGCATGAAAATGTAGGTATTGGCTGTGGAGTAAGATTATCGAGAATCTAGCTAGCATCGGATACGATCCCACCTCAGCATACACAGCTTCTTACGATTGGCGGTTGGCGTATCAGAATTTGGAGCTTAGGGATCGGTACTTTTCGCGGCTAAAGAATTATATTGAGACCGCTGCTAAGCTTTCCGATAAGAAGGTGGTGTTGGTAGCTCATAGCATGGGGTCCCAACTCGCACATTATTTTTTCAAGTGGGTGGAGGCGGAGGGGTATGGCAATGGTGGGCCAAGATGGGTGGAGGACAACATTGAAGCGTTTATAAACGTACAGTACCTCTCCATCACAGCCTCTCACCCGCTAATACCCACACCAACCACAGATAAGTGGATGTATGCTCGGCGCTGTAAAAGGCGTGCCGGCAGTGCTATCGGGGGAAATGAAAGACACCGCCCAGTTGAACCGCTTCGCAGTCTACGGCCTGGAGAAATTCTTCAGCCGCGAAGACCGTGCGGAAATCATGCGCGCCATGCCCGGGATCTCAAGCATGCTACCGAAAGGTGGCAACGCTGTCTGGGGCAACCTAACCTGGGCACCCGACGACCTCCCATCGCAGGATACCAGCAACGGCGCATTCATAAAATTCACCAAGGGGAACTACACGGAGGCGCATGCGAACCTGAGCATGTCGGATAGCCTCGCCTACCTTTTCGATAACTCGGACTCTTGGTTCCCCAACATGATCCGACAGTCCTACTCCCACGGCGTAGCCCTGAGCGGCGCAGAAGTAGAGGCCAACGAGAAGATCCCGCAGAAGTGGGTGAACCCTCTGGAGTCGCGGCTTCCGCTTGCGCCTAGTTTGAAAATCTACTGCTTTTACGGGATTGGAAAGCCCACCGAACGGAGTTACTACTATCAGGAGAACAAGGACCCTCTGTCCCGGTTGAACGTTAGCATCGACACGGCCGTGAGTGGGGAAGGCAGTGACCGCGGGGTCGTCACAACCGAAGGCGATGGCACGGTCCCGCTCCTATCCGCGGGGTATATGTGCGTGAAGGGGTGGCGGTTGAAGAGGTTTAATCCCGCCGGCGTCAAGATCAAGACGTATGAGATGCCGCACCAACCGGAGATGTTTGACATCAGGGGTGGTCCGAATACTGGGGATCATGTTGGTGTGCTTTTTCCCTCTCTTTCCCTCTCTCTTTCCCTCTCTCTCTTTCATCACTGCGAGAGCTAGGTTTTCAGATGCTAATTGGGCGGTAGATATCCTTGGGCGCCAGAAACTCAATGAATTAATCCTTAGAGTAGCGGCCGGCGACGGCGATAGTATCAACGAGAATATTGAGTCGGATATCGTGGCTATTTCGGAAAAGGTTAAGGTTTATGATGATTAATCGATCGGAGTTTGTTTTTGCGAAGGGGAGAAAAAAAAAGATTAGATTACTGTAGGTGCCCTGGAGGATGCTGTACTGTACTCCCGAATTAGGGGTAGTATCATACACTGCCCCAATTAATTGGTTAGCTTTTGTTTCGATTGCCGTGTCTCCCTTGTTAGACCGGGGCCAATCACAACATCATGGCAGTAGTCGTGTAAGGTCATTTTATGGCAGGAGCTGCCTGAGTAGTGGCCATGGAGGCGGGAAGGCGAGTAGCTAGTCTAGGTATCCGCGCAGCAGTTTGATAGAGACCCGATCACTACCACAGCAACTGATGGCACCGTAAGAACGGTTGAGAATACTCAGGCAAGCAGGAAAAAACCCACCACCCATTATCCAGTGGGCTAGTTGGTACGACACGACACACCGCCATGTTATGGAGCGCTGTAATGATGGACGCTCCATGATATTTCCATTCCAAATATGATACCTTCTTCATAACCCAAGTGGTAACCGTGCCAAGGTTCCCACCACGTCGAATGACGCTACGCAACCTTCGACGTAGGTGGCACTCCCCTGGAGTGCCTAACAGTTCAACGATAGTAACAGTTCAACGATAGATTTCTTACACACCACGAGAAACATTTACAATAAAATGACCAATTTCACGACCAAGAAGACCCCGAACCTTTTGTCGCTTACTTCTCTCCTTTACTGCTATGCGCATCTGTTTGCAAAGTTCCTTCCACTGTTTTTTTATCTTGTTGTCCGCTAACTTCTGTGCGTTATCTAGGATCCGCTGAGCCTTCCAAAGCTCCTTCTCAGCTTTGTCTTCTTCTCTCTGATGAACAATTGCTCGAGCTTCATGGGCGTACAAAACACCACCCTTTTGTAGGGAGCGCCGGGAACGTCTCTGTCGTGCAGCACGTGCTAGTTCTGCTGCTTTAGTGTTTTGAAGGTCTTCCAATGCGAGGGCTCCACTTTGTGCTTGAGCCAAGCTTCCTTTCAAATATTTTTTGAAGCCACTGCTAACTGAAGATGGAAGGACTTCAATCTCGGCTTGAAGTGATTCTGCATGACGCTTAAGTGAGCGTATAGTTTTTGGTGTGGATTGAAGACTCAGATCTGGAGACTGAAGTAAGAGGGATGGAGTTTGCAGGAGTGGGGTCTGTGGAGGTGGGGTCTGCGGGAGTGGGGTCTGCGGGAATGGAGTCTGGGGGGATGGGGTTTGTGGGGATGGGATCTGTGGGAGTGGAGTTTGTAGGGGTACAGCGTGCAGGGGTGGGGTCTGCGGGGATAGGGTCTGGTGGGGGTATAGTCTGCGGGGGTGGGGTCTGCGGAGATAGGGTCTGTGGGGGTATAGTCTGTGGGGGTGGGGTCTGTAGTGGTAGGGTCTGCGGGGCTGGGGTCTGCGGAAGTAGAGTCTGCGGGGGTATGGTTTGTAGTGATGGGGTCTGCGGGAGTAGGGTTTGCGGGAGTGGAGTCTGCGGAGGTGGGGTCTGTAGCAGTGGAGTCAGTAGGAGCAGGATTTGTGAAGGTAGGGTTTACAGAACCTGAGAATTGGCTTGGAGCAGAGGAGGTAGTTTGCTAAGTACTATAGTAGGATTGAAGGGTATGAGGCCCGTCTTCTTAAAGGCAGATCTGATAGTAGTAGGTTTAAACGTTTGGGTGCGAATTGACTCGATTGCGTTGAAGAATTCAATTTTGTTAAACTCCGTACATCCAGTCCTAGTGGCACTGTCTAAAGCCTCCGCATGATAATGTTTATACGGCTGGAAGACTACCACATCAAGTGGCTGTAAAAGATGTGTGCAATGGGGGGGAAGGCAAAAGAGAACAATTTTGTGATTATCACAAAAGGTGATGAATTCGCGGGTGCAGTGGGAATTATGTCCATCAAGAAGAAGTAGCCTCCAGGCTCCTACTTGACGTAAAGCAGAAAACTTCTCGAAGTGGTGGATTCAGTCGAATCCGGACTTATCATTAGAGTATCCAGTTTCAGATACTCCAACCAGAAAGGAGTCTGGAATATCAGTTTTTGTATACCAGTCCTCCATATGCAATGCTCTTGGTACTATCACCATTGGAGGCAAAACAGTTCCATCACCGCTAACACTTTCAATCACAGTAACTAATTCTCTCACACTCGAACTTGCGATAAAGAGAGGCCGTTGGGAGTCCCGTGTAACGACCCACTGATCACGCCCGATCCCAATTCTGAAACCCGTCTCGTCAAAGTTGTACGTATCCGAGTCCAAAATACCTTTCTCATCTTTAATTTTTTGAAATCTCACTAACCAATCTTGCAGAATCTCAGGATCATGAGACTGCTTTCTTTCCACATCAATTGTCTTCTGCTTGCGAATTTGATATTGCGGATATCGTTTCAGAAAGCGACTTGTCCACATACAGCTTACGACCGGTGGAGCTGTAGTTGGATTACTATGGGTATGTGCGAGTATCAAGTTTGCATAAGAACTGATAGACCGGTATCGGGATGGCATACCAATCTCATCAAGTCTGTCCAGAAACTGACAGAGTGCTAGTTCCTGATCGCAGGAAAGCTTTCAGTTTGGTGACTCTCTTTGCTGTCGAGACTGACGTCCCTTCCAGCGCTCACGAAGGCGCTGTTCTGGTACTTTGAACTGCCGGGCAAGCGAGGCAATATTGGGCGCATTTCCATCACAAGCTTCAGCAATAGCCTGTTGGATTCGTACTTCGTCATCGATATATTTTTCACTGGACATTGTGACATGGAAGATAGGTAAAGTTCAGCAATTGGCAGATGGTAGAGGTTGGCTCACAATTCTATCGTTGAACTGTTACTATCGTTGAACTGTTAGGCACTCCAGGGGAGTGCCACCTACGTCGAAGGTTGCGTAGCGTCATTCGACGTGGTGGGAACCTTGGCACGGTTAGTGTCTGTGCGGGCACCGTATTACCGGTATCGTAATCGGGGGAGTAGCAGATGGTGGCGGTAGTGGTGGTATAATACTCTTCACACCATCAGACTTAAATCCCTATTCTCACACAGCCTATAGCATCATGTCATACCCCCCGCGCACCCTCGAGTACGGTACCGTATAATAGTAATTTACGTACCGTACCGATACAGACCAGAATTGCAGGAATCACTTTATAGGGACGTAAGTTAGTTCCGTACTGCACAGCATCATACAAGTACAGTACAGTACAGTATAGTACTAGAATTCCGGCACGGGTATCACAATCCCAATCGAGGAGATTCGACACTGTAGTCTAATTACCTAATTCAGTAAAAACTCAGTTCTGGATTAGACTACGAATATTAATGCAATTGGGTGAGAGTGCGGTATGTATGCGAGTAATATAACACCCTTTCCGCCGTACGGTAGCATGATACTGCTAACTTACGTGATAATATCGTACTTGCAGTGGTTATTGCGCCGAACGAGGCTGCCCCGCTCACCAACTCGCGTTGTCGAAGCGGTTGTGATGAAGATTTATCACCGTTCCGTCGATTGGGTCTGGGATTTATTATTCGCTGGATATTACAAGTAATGGTAAAATTATGAATATGTACAATATATTGGAAAATTGATGGCGAGCAGCCTAAGGCGTGGTCCTAGGGAAAGAAAGAGTCCTTTGGTGTGAGTAGCTTCGATCCCGAGTAATTTAAACAAATACGGTAAAACGATTGACAATATTTTCATACCGGTGTTAATCACAAAGTCATCATAATCGAAAAGGGAAAAAGAAAAAAAGAAAAAAAAAGAGAAAAGAAGGTCCAAGTCAACATGGTACCAAAAGGCAATTCATATTATATAATTATGCAGAAACAAGGAGAAGGAAAACGTGAGAGGGAAGAATATTTACAAAAAAAGGCAAACGCTCAAAACACCGTCTTATGCATTCATTAACCGATTATTCCCCCCTCCCCTCTACACCTACAAGACGGCGTCTACTGATCTAGCATAGCCCCCTCCATGGCAATCCCCCCAGAGCCAACCTTGATCCCGGTGGCTGCGACAAACTCCCTAACCTTACTCCTCGAGATGACCCATCCGCCCGGCTCCCCCGCTGCATCTGGTGCGCTCCGGCCAATCGCTCCCATACCCTTCAACGTGGCGACCACATCCTCCTGATGAACCCAAGTCTCCTTACTCAAGTCCGTGATTGTGATCGGTTTCTTAGACTTGCGGTTTAATATCGCGGCAGCAAGGACGGAGGTCCAGTATGATCTGTAGCCTTTCTGACCGAGATCCGATAGCGCTATATACAAAGTTAGTGCCTACTCGGAGTTGGATGAGGAAGGGGCAAATACGTTTCTCTGGACCCCCAATTTTCCCCTCCCCTCTAGCTAACACGTAAGAGAAGGAGATCAAAATCTTCCCGAGGCCCCTCCGTTGGTATGGTGGGAAAATCAATATACAAGCGAGGATATTGCCATCCCAGGACATTTTCTCCTTTGAAAAGAAGCCGACTATCCTCTTCCCACCCTCCTGCTGCTGCTGCGCCTTCCCCCCCGCACCATCCGTGGCAGGAGGGAGGACGTCCTCGACGAGTGTGTAGAATAGGAACGGCTCAACGTCGTAGGAAATACTCTTCGTGTCCAGGAATAACTTTGCAAACAGCGAGAGGCATTGGCAGAACAGTGGATGCTCCTCGCCGTCGACCTCGTATATTGAAAACCCATTGTGCGCGTATACCAACTTCCCCAGGGGCTTCCCAGAGAGGTGGCAGAAGGGTTTATGCAAGAGGAGCTCGGAGGCTTCAGGGGTGTAGCTGAAGCAGTGTTCGCAGACGTAGATACGCTCGCTGCTGGTAGGGTGAGGACTTGTGGATGCGGAAAGAGAGAAGGGGGAATGGGTGTCGTGATCGCTGGCTATGGCCTTGAGTGGGTATGAGGATGGGCACCAAGCAGGTATTAACTGGCTACCCAGAACCACTGAGGTGACTTCGTGGGAGGCGCTACCCTTGGCCGGTTTCAATTTTGGGGTTGCGAGAGTGGAGATTGTTGCTGTGGATTTGCTGGGCTTGGGCTTTGGGCGGGGGCGGGTCGGGGGAGGCATTGTGGGGGTAGAGGTCTTGGACAGAGATGCGAGGAGGGTTCGAGGCCATCACAGGAGGTGAGCTTGAGAACAATGAGGTTAACGGAAAAATGTTGTTCCGGAGGGTAAGTCTACGAGTAGCTTGCTATCATATTATATATATGATACGAGTATCACAGCTCAGCCCCATCGGTGACGAGGGTTCACAGTGACGGCGAAAGCATCATAAGATGTATCATATGATATCCGACTTATGGATAGAAGAGCAAAGTATATTTCAATGGATTGAAATGTTCATTTTTGATCAAGCCCTAGACGCCTTATCCCACGCCCTCATTTTTTAATTCATTGATGAGCCTGGCGAGTGGTGGCGTTTATCATGGTTAAGTTACGCTGTGATGTTAGCTGAGGTTATCGATACAGCTCTTGTCCAGTGTTGCTATCCTACTGAAGCCATGAACTCCGCGTGAAAACGTTCAGAGAAACTGCGGAGTAAACTTCCCCCGTCCTTCATCTTTGTGAAGAAACTCTACACAAATTTACCCCCTCGACAGCTACAGCTCTAGTCCTTTCCACAGCTAGAGACGAGCACTCTCTACCTACCACTCTCGGGGTATCTATATCTCTAAAGCCCAGATATACTGTACACAGCCCACAAGCCCACACAATGGACCCCCAACCAGACAACACAACCATCGGTGGAATAGAACTCCAAACCCCCCCGCCCGAAAACACACGCCCGAAACACCTCTTCTTCGCCGAACGCACCTCCACTTCCCCAACCGCGCCGACACTCCTTCTCCTCCACGGCCTCTACAGCAGCCACCTCGAGTTCGCGCACCTCCCCATCCCCTCAACTTCTTATCACATCCTGACCCCCGACATTCCCGGCCACAGCCGATCATCACACCTCCCCGTCTCCCTCCAAAACACCACAAACCTGCTGGTCGACCTCATAAAATCCCACGCTCACTCCTCCCGCGCACACATCGTTGGCGTTTCCTACGGCGCCTACTTGGCCCTCCACCTCGCGGCCACACATCCCGAGCTGGTTGACAGCGTCTTCGCGACCGGGTGCACCCTCCCCACCAGCGCACCCCTTGGGAACCTGTCGTGGGTGGCGAATGTCCCGTTGTTATACTTCCCCAATGCCGTCAATTACGCACTCAGTTGGTATGGCGGCACCATCAACGAGGAACTGCTCAAGGATATGCACACCAATGCCACGGTGGCTCTGGGGAATGCTGCGTACGCGAGTTTGAAGGACTGGGAGCTCAAACCGTTACCCATGCGGGTTTGTCTCTGCGCGAGCGGGAAGGGTGACATAGTTCGACCGCTTAGGGATATGGAGAGGAGGGTTAGGGAGGGGAATGCAGAGAGTAGAGCTGTAGTCGCCAAGGGCAAGATTCTGCCTTGGGATATTCAGGCTCCTGAGGACTTTGCTGAGGCTTTGATGGCATGGGTGGAAGGGAGGGAGTTGCCAGGGTTTATCGTGTCGTTGGAAAAGTGGCTTTCTTGGGGGTGGTAGTCTTGTTTCTTTCTTGTTCTTGTTCTTTTGCGTTTTCATTATCAATACGGCGCTATTGGCAATTGGGAGGTTTAGCTTTGTAGCCTTTTGATGTAAGGTTACCGCCGATACATTCTCCTATCAACATTTCTGATCCTCTCCTCAAGCTCTGCCTTCCGTTCCTCAAGCTCTCTAATCTCCTCTTCCTCCGCCGCGAGCATCTCATCCGTGACCTCCTCCCCAACCTCTTCTTCCTCCACCTCTTCCGGCTCAGGGTCCTGTAACAGATCCAACTGCTGCCTCTGAGCCTCCACAAGCGCCTCGTAATTCTCCAATGACTCTGTCAAGTGATCGTACCGCTCCCTAGCTCCACGTATCCTCTCTTCCGCGCCAGGAATGTGACTATCCCCCCAATTAGTCCCGCACCATCCCCCCTGCCAATTCACATAAACTCGGAAGGAAGGAACCCACTAAACCCCCAAAAGCCTCTCAGCGCCCATAAGCAACACCTCTACATCCACCTCCCCCGTCGCAACGCCCCCAACCCCGCCACCCACACCCCCAGCTCCACCCCTCCGCAACTTCTCAACCATGTCCCCTCCCAGGGCGGAATACACGGCAGTATTCTTCCGCGGCGCAATGCTCATGCGCGACTTTTTCATGTCCTTCTTTTCCGTCGGCGCGGTGGGAACGGTGAAGAGGGCGCGCTCGTGCGCGTCCGTGTCGCGGATAAGTGAGACAATGTCGGTTGAGCGGAGGAGGGCTAGTTTTCAGGTTGGTATTGTTAGCATTGGGAGGAAGGAAGGAAGTGGGAAAGAGGCGGGAGGGGGAAGAACCGTTTGTAAAGACCTTTGGTGGGGCAAAGGGGAGTGATGAGAGGGAGTTTGCCGCGCCGGATATTTGCTGTAAGTGTGGGGATAGGAGGGTGCTCATTTTGGTGCCTCGGGTGGAGGTATAGTAGTGGGCGGGATTGGATTTTGTCGATATTTACTGTGAGTTATGCTGATTGCTGTTACTGTATCATATCATACTCGAGTGTGATACAGTATGATAATATGCAATGTTAATCACGGTTGTAGTATGGTGCCCCGAACCCTAGGCATTCCGGGGGTACAGGTACCAGCGTCATGTAATATCACAGTATGATATGGTAATACGGTACAAACAGATCCAAGGTCCAAGTAAATTTACTCTGATATGATGCACATGATATATGATACCAAACAATCAGAGTGACCAAAACACAGCCTTCCGCAAGTGCTGTATTATATTGTCCATTCATCAGCCGGACAGGCTCCGCTACAGATCTGCCCCACCTCCGACTAGAAAATCATTGAGTAAAAAAAAGGTTAATAAAGCCTTCCCACCCACCTTCCCGCACATCTCAAAAAAGGAAGCTATGATACGTCGATAATCAACGCTCTCTGCCCATTGTCCGTTTGCGCTGCATACCAGCACGGGCGACGTCGTTCATCAGCGTGGTTACAAGTTAAATCCGCCAAAGGAAAAAAAAGTACCGCAAAAGGTGAAGGACGCAGGAGGAAGGAAGCACGATAATTTACCAGTCCCCGTAGCGTATATCGGCGTCACATTTGGGAATTCTACCTTCTCCGCCCATTCATCAACAAAACCTCCTCCTCCTACATGCACACCCCCCCCCCCCCGACCACTCTCGGCTTCCACCTCTCTCCACCGCCATCGAAACCCCATACCCGGCACTCTTTGCCCTCGTCCACCACCTCTCCTACCCCCTCAATACCCCTGCACATAGCGCTGAATCCACCACCGAAACCGCTTCTTTCCATGCGGAAGGAGGCGTACTGGACCCCTGGATGGGTTGGCTAGGGAGGTGGCAGTGGAGGTCATGGAGTCAGGGTGCGGAGTTTCCAGAGGGGCTGGTTCGGTGATACGGCAGGCCGGCGTTTGCAGAATCTCGGAAAGGGGATCCGGGAAGTCGATATAATACTACAATACACGGAAATATACCATAACGATACATTAGGAAAGATACCACGAGCACTCTCATATCCACGTCGTATATAGCAAGACCCCAACCTAACCACCCAAAGGCACCATCACGCTTCTCCCCCAAGTCCATCGGGTTGGCCAAAGCGGCCAGCACAAGTCTCCATCGGGGAATACCCGTCAGGCATTGAGAAGAAGCCCAAGTATCACTACCCACAACGAGCTTCTCTCAAAAACCTCTTCACCAAAAGAAAAAAACACACACTACCCAACAAAACGCGGCCTTCAAAAAAAATAAAAAATCGCGGGGTCCGAGTTCCATACTTTGGCAAAGGCCCCTGCCAAAGAAAAGAAAGAGGGGGGGGGGCACAACCGATATTATATGACGCAGCCGAGTATGGTGTACGGTGTGAGAAGGTGAAAAGGATGAGCTCGTCGGCCTTGTTCGCACCATAGGAGAGAGGGGATCATCCCACCGTTGGCTCAGTTACAAGCAGCAAGCTTCCGTGAAACACGGGCCATTGCAGTCCCACTACGAGCAGAGCCTGGATATTGTACGGGCAGCTAGCTGTGCCTGCCAGCCTGCTACCGGTATTTGTGCCAGGAGCGGAGAGAATTTGCAAATGGAGCGGATATCTAAATGGGAGCTGCTGTGTAAAGTAGGGATGTGTTAGCAGAGCTATGGACGAGCTGACTAGCGTATAGAGTAGCTTGTCCATCTCAGCACCTTGTCGAGATTTAAGCCATTGGCCGCCCCGGCTTTTATTGTCTAAAATCTCGCTGCCTGGTCAACCCGTACATGGCCTATCACTCGGTTTCTAACTCTAACCGCCCCTGTCAGGCACGAGAGCCCGTCAATTTGTCCAAAAGAGCACGGTATGGTGTGAACGGGGTCGGCGAGCTCACCCTTTTCACCTTCTCGTGCTATACCTTCCATGGTAATTTACATATCCTGCCACAAGTACAAAGCCTGCAAGAAGGAACCTTCAACCCCTGTCCGATCTTTCCATATAGTGCGTCCCATAGCTAGCAACGACAACCGCCCGAAACCCGGATTTAATAGTTCTGTGATAAAAGGGAAAGGAGCAGGAACGTAACATCGTACACAAGTTTCGCCATTCATTGTTCACCGGTCATTACCAATGTAATCGTAACCGCCGCGTTATTTCTAACGAAACGGGAAGAAAGATAAGGAAAAGAAACGCAAAAACGCCCATTACCAGCCAGTAATGCCCATGATAGTCACACACTCAGCTGCAACAACAGCAACAAAAGGGGGGGGAAGAAGTCCCGATCGAGAAAATACGATTTAATGGGAAGCAAAGAGAAAAGGCGCCATAAAAGTGGGAGAGAAGCGGGGGGAAATCAAATTACCCCCGTCCTCCCCGCCCCCTCCACGCCTACAAACTGATTTAGCAGGTCCAGCACACCAGCGTTATGTGGCCCCGCCTGTTGATCCTCCTCTTCATCCTCCGCCTGCGTAGCCATCATGGTGCCCGTTACGCGGGTGGACATGAATGACTCGCCGAGGTTGCTGCGGTAGTGCTCCCTGGGCTTGTCGGTAGACGGTGTAGCCTCCTCCTCCTCCTCTTCCCGGAGCGATTCTGCTGTGGGTAGGTGGAACATAGGGTGTCTCGTGGCCCTCCCCATGAAAGGCGGTGGTTGGTGGTGTTGGTCTAAGAGGGAGGACTGGAGTAATTGAGAACCTTGCATTCTTCCGGGGCTGTCTCGGTGGATGGATAGTTGTATGTCCTGGCGCCCATCACCGCGGCCATCCCTTCCTTTGCCAGTCTGGGCGTTCAGCACGGGAGACATATAATTGCGCATTGACATCTGGCGTTTATTTGCTCCTCCTTTGTTCTGCGGGCCGTGGTACTGATCCATGAAACCAAGATATGAGGAGAGCATTTTGTTGTCCTTGGATGAGAAATACTCCTCACGTAAGTCAGCCATACTTTGGCGCTAAAAGACCAACATCCATTAGTTGAGACTTCGCAGGAATTGGGGAGATGCAGCGTACACCGGGTTTTTGGAAATCAAAAACTGCAAAACTGCAGACGTATCCAATGCCGTCAACGTGAACAGTGAACTCTCGGAAGAAGTCGATAATCTTTTCCGAACGGTTTGAAAGCGAGACCCAAAGAACAAACGGTGTGAAAATGACACTCATGACTTCTCCAAGGAATATCATCACCTTAAGGTCGTACAGAGACATGAACTCTTTCTTAATCTACAAACTATTAGCCGCGGAGCTCCACCGTTACTCAAGAGCGCCTACATCGTCAGTGCGTAGCTTGTCTTTCCAGTGGTCGGGCATATAATGTATATGCTGTATGACATTCCTAATAGACCATTCTGGATCATAGACCGTATTTTCCTCTGGAAGCATTCCTCTACTAACGGCCACAATGGTGGTGAGGGTAGCAATCGCTGTGAGCCCATTCAACCCCTGAACAATCTCAAATCCTTGTATTAAATCGCCATCAATTATTGAGGCGATAGCAAGGACACCCAATAGAGATCCAGCAACAAACGAAACGAACCTATATATAGTAAATATCCGCCCCCAGCCCTCGAGGACGGTTAGAAATTACCTTGCAACTTGTGCCGTCTTTTCCTTAGGAAACTGCTCGACATATGCTTCCGCAGCGGGGTAGCTCATATTCAGCCTCATGTGGAAGATGTGATACAGCTCATTGAATTCCCGGAACTTCCACTCCGCGAGTGGTGTGTATTGTCTGTGCCCAATCCTAGCGGGTGTTTTGATGAAATCCTAATATCACGTCAACTGTGGTTGACTCGGCAGGGATTGGTGTAGAGTAAGCACAAACGTTGACATTGCGGAGAAGAAATAGAAGTAATAGATACGTCAGGATGAAGGGAGCAAAAATGATATTCATGACACCAGCAAACAGGAACCGTCGTTTCAGTCTGTGACTAATTAGTACGAGACTCATCTCGCCTTTCATCCGGAAGAAAGCTCACCCGTCACTAAGGATCTTTCTGTGGCTCTCTTTAAGGAACAAGGTTCTCAGCTGCCCCTGGTCGTTAAAGACGTAATCGAGAATGCATAAGCTAAGGTTCCATTCCAGGGTCTTGGTCAACATTGTTCCCCGGTTCCGCAAGAATGGGAAAGGGATAGTGAGGTCCAATATCTCCTTATTGAAGAGGGCAATCAGGTAGTTTTCTTTCCTCATGAGCCGGTTAGCGATATCATGGGCGTCCATTCGCTGCTTCGATTGGCTGCTAAAATGCCGGCGTCGAAGAGCACCTGATGTCGTGGGATTTGAATCCCGTAAAGCCATCAATTTGGCAACCACTTCCTGCCATGTCACTGTCTGCATATCACTATCTGGTATCTCGAGGAGATATTTATAAAAGTTCCGAATATCCCACAGACGTCGAGTGTCCAGAACGTAGTGAATTGTCTTAATTACCCAATAGAAGGAAATTGCCCACATGAAAAGCGTCGTGACACCAGACATCCTATTCTCGGGTAAGCCAGACGTGTGGAAAGCGCGGACATGGGAGCTTACTGGCTCATGCAGTGAGGGCTGATCACTTCTGACAGCTTTTTGCGATCAGGTACGAGCTTGTAATCAACACAGAGACTCATAAATGTAGTAAACCCAACAACAAAAACAAGCGTCCTATCAAGAGATTAGTGTCTCCTATATGAACCAGAAAGAAGGGTTCCTACAGTTGATTTAGCAATCGGTGCAGGGCAATGCTCCAAATTCCCTTCCCGAGGAAATAGTCGTAAACCTGCAACCGTTAGCCAACCGCAGTACCTACCTAATGCCTAGACAAAGAGTAACTCACATCGTTGAGGAAGTTGTCCAAGTTCTCAACATTTGCCCACTTCCACAGAGCACGCTCTTTCGGGTCAATCAATCCTAACCTGGCCTGCCGTCGGAAATCTTTTCCTTCATTCTGGTGTCTCCGGTCGCCTCTTCGCTCTTCCCTAGCTTGATGCCCTTCCAACCCAGTAGCAGCCCAGGTATTCGGCAAGGGCTCATTTCTCACGGCTCGCAGTGCGGGCCCTGCCACTCCACTCCTTCCACCAGTCGAACCCCTCCTCTTACTGGGTCCTGCCCCCACCTCCAACAACAGGGATGCAGGAACTTCGTCATCACCCTCCTCTTCGTCTCTATACCGAGGCGGAGCGTAGATGTTCTTTTTAGACCTGCTCATCGAGGAAAAGTAAGGTCGCCGGTTGTTCTCTGAAGCCATGAATGAAGACTCTGCGGGAGCGGGGGGCTGTTGCTCTAGCTCAAAGTTGCTATCCTCCAAGCTGTCCTGGAGGTCCGGTGGTGGCAAGTCTGAGTCATTATCCAGGGCCAGCATACCGGCTCGCTCTTCGAGATCATCATCGTCATCCGAGTTGTCAGTTGCGTCATGCTGGCGGAGGGTCTCGTATATGCTTGCAGAGTTCTGGTTGAATATTTGAGATAGAATCCTGCTCGTCATTCTATAGTCTCCCAAGGGCAGTGTACAGGTGGAGTGGCGCTGGGTGAGGTTATCTAGGCTTGTTCGGATGTAGGAATCGAAGTGGTGGAGGTGAGTATGGAGGGAATGAAGCTAGAGCAGTGGTGTTTATGCTCCAGTGGGATAAAACAAGTACTGTACCGAGCTATATTTTCCCCTCTGACCCAGAACGGTGATTCGGGGAAGGAATGATCACAGGGAAAACTTGTGCGAATAGTATATAAGAAGGAGACAGGAGTCACGTTTACAGCAGCAGCTGTTCGTCTTAAAGAGTCGATGAGTTGGGGAGTTGCTCGGGTTGAAGCTATCCAACTCCCTCTGTTCCCCACCACGGTATCTGCCTGACGTTTCACCCAGGGTGTCGCGTGGAGGCTCCACCTTGGTCACAGGGGAGGGTAACCAGCAGGAAATATGAGGCTCAACGGCTTTTCGGGTCAAGTTAGACTACCGGTATTCTCGACACACAGTGCCCCTCGTCTCCCCTCCACCACATCGCCCCGTCCCCCCTCTCGGCGACCAAACAACCATGGACTCGCTATCACAGCAGCGATTGTCAGCAATTCTCTCGGCTTCATACTCAGATTCAGAGATACGCAATGCCTTGCAAGTCCTCGATTCCCGCTTCACCGAAAACTCCCCCGACTCTCGACGGCAGCTCCGGGTAGATGTCCAAGCCGAGGTAATCCGGAGTAATGCGCATATCGTTCGGGAGTTCTCCAAAATCTCCGAGGTACTGTAGTAACACAAGCCTTGAGCTTCCTTTTTTTGGTGTGTGTGGGGGGGAGGGGAACATTGTGTTTTGGGAAAGGAAGGCTGAGAAATCATGTATATAGCAATTGAAGCTTGTGGGCCACACGTTGAACGCAATGAACAACGTAGTGTCTTCCCTGAAAACACATGTTACCGCTGCCGGCTCAGAGACGGCTCCTATACTCGAGGAGTCGTCCCAGTTGCTTACTCAAAAGAAGAAGGCCGAAACCAAGGAAGCTCTACTCAAAGCTTTCACCGAGCACTTTCTCGTCTCGGAGAAAGATGTGGTCATCCTGACAAGCTCTGCAGAGCCTGTCGATGACCGGTTCTTTAGAATTTTAAACAGGGTCAAGAAGATACACGGAGATTGCGAAGTTCTGCTCGCCAGTGAGAACCAGAGAGCTGGGTACGTTCTCTTCAGGGTTAGGGGAACATAGGGCTGACCATACGGAAAACAGCATAGAGATAATGGATCGAATGACCGGTCATCTGCAAGGAGCTTTCCAGAAGCTATATCGATGGATACAGCGGGAATTGAAACATCTTTCCCTCGAGAATCCGCAGATTAATGCGGGGATAAGGAGGGCGTTAAGGGTTCTGGCAGAGAGGCCTACTCTATTTCAGTATGCCTTTTCTCTGCACTCTGAATTACCAATGCTAACACGCTTCAAGGAATTGTTTAGACTTCTTCGCTGAAGCCCGGCAAAAGATCCTACTGGATTCCTTTTATACAGCCCTCACCGGCGCTGCCCCAAGCACTGCCACTCCATCCTACATAGACCCAACAACAAAGCCTATAGAGCTTTACGCCCATGACCCCTTGAGATATATTGGTGATATGCTTGCATGGCTTCACTCCGCTGCGGTTGGAGAGCAAGAGGCTTTGGAGGTACTCTTCATCTCGCAAGAAGGAGAAGGTCAAAACAGCATATTAGGTGGGATCGAGGAGGGTTTAAAGAGTGAGCCATGGCTTGGGGAGGGTGACGGAGAAGAGGAGGCAACGCGTGGAGTGTGGGATGCTAGGAAAGGACTCATGATGTTGGTTGACAAGGACCTACAGGCCGTGTGCAAGCCATTGAAAGTAATAATTAACTCCCACGCATCATATACGCAAGGACACCACTGACCAACACTAAAAATAGTCAAGAATAGAACAAGTTATCGCTAGTCATGAAGAGAGCACCTTGGTCTATAAAATCTCTAATCTAATAAACTTCTATCGCCTAACCTTTGAAAAATTACTCGGCCAGGAATCATTCCTGCTAGAGACCATGAAGACGTACAAGTCCACCTCGACAATACCGATATAGCAACCCGAGTTAACAATCGACTAGGACCGAACAAGCCGCCCTCCGCCAATTCCACAGCTCTCTCCAGGAACACGTCCGTGCCGTTCAATCCGAACTCCCCCAAGCACCCGATGAACTGACACCGCCACCCTTCCTCCACGAAGCTCTTAACGAGCTAAAACAGCTAATGATCTCCTGCGACACCTCCTTAATCCCCGGTTCGGAGCGCGAAGGCGGCTTCTCCAAGATCCTGGAAGAAGCACTAGACCCGTACCTAGATGGGTGCCACAACCTCAGCCAGGACCTGGAAGAGGTTGACAAGAACATATTCGTCATAAACTGCCAACTCGCGGCGAAAGCGACGCTGGAGCAATTCGGCTTCACCGCAGATAGAATCTCCAAACTAGACGCTGAGGTGGGGAAACAGATGGGATTGCTAACGGAGTTCCAGCACAACTTTTTCGTGCACACCAGCGGATTACATCCTTTACTCGTAGCCTTATCGGACTGGGATCCGACGGTTGGTCCCAATCCTCTCCCTCTTGCACCCAGACCACTAACACAGCAAAGGAAACCCCCCTAACACAGCTCCCCCCCTTCTCCCCGCACGCCCTCTCACTCGTCAGCCAGTCGTTCGACGAGTTCCTCCCGAGCGCGCTTATGGACGCGACTACCGGGCTAAAGCGTCTCTCCTCGCCAAAGATAATCGGAGAAATCATGCAGGAAGCCGCATCCCGCTTCGTCGACGACTTCTGCCGCGTAGAGGAGGTGGTAATCGATGCCCTCCTGAACGAGGGAGACGGACAGGGGGAAGGCGGAATCGAGTTTGCTCGGAGCATTTGGCCGAGGACTGTGGATGAGGTTAGGGTTTTATTGACTTGATGGAATGCGTGTACTCGTAGATACTGGTACGATAGTTTACGATATGATATGGCAATAATAGACAAGACGGTAGCAGTAATCCGAGTTTGATTCAATTATCGAGGAACCCTATTATTATAACACGATAGCATACACTACAAACTCCTTATCGATAAAAAAAGATAACATCCTTCTAAATTGCCAAGCCCTCGGTAAGGGTTTAAACGCCACACAACAGTTTGCCGGTATCATGGGTCCTCGTGCAATGTGGGTGTCCCGGTCTCCTACGTACAAATACAAGTAGGCCACACCACTAACTTAACCAAGCTCCCCTATACAGTATCAAAAACATCAGGAATACCGAAGCAAAACCGCTCAGAAGAAAGAAAAAAAGAAAAAAGAAAATGCTCTGCACAATCCTGCGGCCAGCCCGTCATGGCGCCCCACACATAGCTACCCGAATAACAACAGCAGCCGCCACAATTCGAAAAGCCCACAGCACGACATTTGATTGGCAGGACCCTCTCCGGCTCGCTTCCGCACTGACGGATGAGGAAGTCGCCATTTCGAATATGGCACGAGAGTATTGTCAGGAGAGGATTTTGCCCCGGGTTTTACGTGCGTGTGCTGTCTGCTGTCCTCAACTTCTACGGCGGAGAATGGGAAGCTAATGCGATTTGTGGGGGGGTTAAAAGAGGCGTATCGTGATGAGCACTACGACCGAGATATTCTGATTGAGATGGGGGAGTTGGGGTTATTAGGGGCCACAATTAACGGCCATGGGTGTGCAGGCATAGGGAATGTTGCTGCTGGAGTGGGTTCCTGCGTTCTTACTCGGAGGGTGAATTGGGGCTGGGGCTAATGAGGTTAGTTGATTACTAGAGAGGTAGAGAGGTATGGAGCTCCCAATCTGTTGTCGGGGCTGCGGGGAGAATAATGTGAGTGTTGATTAGTATGTGGATGAAGGGTAGACAGTGGGTATCGGAGTGGAATGAGCGTTCAGAGCTCACTCGTCATGGGAGGCATCGACGAGTTCGGGACGCAAGAGCAGAAGGAACGATTCTTGCCAGGTATGGCAAAGGGAAAGATTCTTGGGGCTTTTGGCCTGACTGAGCGTATGTTTTCTAGAAAGGTCCCCGGCATGCCCCACTGGTATTAATTAAAAAAAAAATAGCAAATCATGGTTCTGATCCCGGATCGTATTTAACCGCCCCAGCCCTCCGACGAGGAGTATATGCACGCTAATTGATAGTTAGCATGGAAACTGTGGCCCGACCGCATCCCACAAAGAAGGGAGTCTGCCTCCTCTTCGGGTCAAAAACTTGGATCACCAATTCTCCAATCGCGGACATTCTCATGGTCTGGGCCAAGCTGGAGGGCAAGATCCGTGGCTTTCTTGTGGAGAGATCTACCGCGGCGCCTGGAACACTCTCAACTCCAGCCATCAAAGACAAAAACGGGCTCCGAGCGTCCATTACCGGAATGATTATGCTGGACGGGGTGGAAATTCCTGAAGAAAACATGTTTCCAGATATTGAAGGTCTGAGGGGTCCATTCAGTTGCTTGAACAATGCCAGGTACGGGATTGCATGGGGGACTATGGGGGCGCTGGAAGACTGCATTGCGAGAGCGAGGACATATGCTCTTGAGCGAAAGCAGTTTAAAGGAAATCCTCTAGCAAAGTACCAACTCGTTCAGAAAAAGTTAGCGGATGCGACCACGGACGCTGCTTTCGGATTGGCCGCTTGCTTGCATGTCGGGCGACTGAAGGATAAAGGGCTCTGTACTCCAGAGATGATTTCAATGATCAAACGACAAAATTGCGATAGAGCACTTGTTAACGCCCGAAAGTGGGCCCTCCCTCCCCCATCTCATTTCGTTTGTCGGCATTAAATAACGCTGCGTTATATATAGCCTCCAGGAGATTTTCGGAGGAAATGCGGTGTCGGACGAATATGGGATCGGAAGACACGTTGCAAATCTATTTGTCACCCAAACGTATGAAGGCCAGAGTGACATCCACAGTAAGATCCGAATAACCCGAGAAAACAAACACCGAAGGGTCAGCCACTAAAACGTTGCGCAATTAGGTCTTATACTCGGAAGGGCGATCACTGGAGTCCAAGCCTTCTGCTAGTCGCCGTCGCCGAAAACGCGATATCTGCCCGGAAAATCGTTCAAGGAAGGAAGTTGTACGGGGGGGATCGTTGGGTCCTTTCCAAATTTTGTCTTTCCAACGTTCTGATTTGTTCGCAGCCTGTGGTTCTAACTTGTACACACGTGTAAATAGAAAAATAGAAAAAAGTCGGGGAATCAAAATTCTGATTTCCTCCCTTCCCATCAGCCTGCGACGGAAATAGCGGGAAGTATTGTCGGTGAATGAAACATGGGAAACAAATGAAGAGACGCCGAGTAAGCTGGGGTTTGGATAGGGTTTGAAATTGGAGGAACCAACCCATAAGATGCTCAGGATTGGTTTGGGGCTGGGTCTGCTATTTTAGGGAATCCACCAGGGAAGGGAAGAGGCAAAGAGATAGGCGGTACGGGGATGAGGGGTCCGGCGGTATGCTGGCGGTGCAGATTAGTTGGGGGATGATAAAGGGGTTCCATGCTTCTTTGCAAGCAGGGAAATGGTTGAAACCGGGGGAAAAGATGAAGCGAAAAGGGTGCCGAAGTTCAGGGCCCAGGGCCAATGTTGTACAGGTATGCGGGCTCCCGTCTCAACAATCTTGTGGGGTAAGTGCTGGCCGGGGGGGAGGTCGTGGTGATTGATGCCGGTAGTCTATTGGAGAGTTTACTTGTAAGTTACAAGCGATGATACCGGCACTCGAGTACAGTCCCAGTGCAGTACAATGCGAGTACCGTACCGGTACTGTACTGTACGAGTGCCGTACCGACCAAGAAGTGAGAAGTCCGAAAAATACGTAAGCGGAGACATGGACAGCGCACTAACCGCATATTTCAGATACATGGACACAATGTACAGTAGCGGTGGTCTCGGGGGGGAGAAAACAGCTCCCCGCTTTCCGAGCGGTGGGGCTTGTGAGCCTTCGACTCAGCCAGAGAGGCAGGCGTGATTGCCCCAGAAACGCCGCGGATGCTGCTGCGGCCACAACTATCAACAAATCATCGAAACTCAAATCCAAATAAATTCCTTGCACTCGAAATGTAAATGTAAAATAATTGCTGCCATTCGTCTGTTCACCCGTTTCCTGCCCATTTCATTAAACCTTAGCACGAACGCCTGTATTTGTACCGCCCTCTCCCCGTCCGTAGCAGGCGAGAAGGCCCTTCTATCATGCGAAGAGGAGGAAGGAGAAAGGAAAACGAGAAGCCCGCTCCTCTCACACTAGTGCTTAGTCAAAGAGCCGATGAAGCTACGATAGAGAAACGGAGGAAAAGAGCCAGTGGGCAGGGGAGAGATTGCTGGGGAGTTGGCCTGCAAGCCTGGAGGCAAAGTGTCATATCGTATGAAGTACATAAGGGGACCGGATCCAGAAGAAACGTTCTGTTGCCCTCTCCTAACTTCCATGTTTGAGCGGCGGCTACGGTTCTCTCGCCATACTAAAGTGGATCGACCCTCCCGCCAAGTACAAAACTTGCCTCCTTTCCCAACTCAAACTTACCCTCCTGCTTCCTACTTCCCCACCATCTCAACTTCCACAACACCTCAACTCAACCCTCTTTTCTCTCCTCCTCACCTCTCCGTCAACTCTTCCTCGCTTCACTTTACGCCCTCGATGTGAGTATTCCTCTGCCTTGCTCCTATTTATTTCCATCTTTCTATTCCTCCCTTCCTTTACAACTTCCTTTTCTCCCTCCCCCTTCCCCCCCCCCGTTCCCTATTCCTGCGTTGTTGTCCTCTGGCCCCAACATCACCGTCTCCCTGCTCGTACTGACCCCGCCTTGTCCACAGCCGTTACTCCCACAACCTTCAGCCAATAACACTCCCATAACCACCAGTTCGAAATGGCCCTCAAGAGAATTAACAAGGAGCTCAGTGATCTCGGAAGGTATGGCTTTTTCCCCTATACTGCTCCAAAAATCGGTTTTCGCTTTGGCTCCCCTTGAGAGTCGCGTGAGGGGGCGTTGCCTATCGGTTGAAAGTTGTTGCTTGTTGTTGATTTGGCACTTGGAGCTAACTGTTTACCCTTAGAGATCCACCCTCTTCATGCAGTGCTGGTCCTATTGGCGAGGATCTGGCAAGTTTTACCTCCATCCTTTCCCCCTGAAAGATTTCTTTGACTTCAAACGGGGTTTGCTATTTAAGCTTTCTTACCAGTTGGGCGTCGTGACGTTTGGAGACGGAATACTGACGTCCTGTTTAGTTTCATTGGCAAGCAACCATTATGGGTCCTGTATGTTGACCCTTGCTTGGGAGCTTCCTTTAACGAGATATGATCGAGCCAAAGGCCCGGCCCGAGTCATAGCCGAGGCGAATGTACTTGCTAACCCGTGTTTTTTTGTCATCCTTAGGCAGACAGCCCTTACTCCTCTGGAGTATTCTTTCTATCCATCGCTTTCCCCACCGACTATCCCTTCAAGCCTCCCAAGGTCAACTTCACCACCCGTATCTATCATCCAAATATCAACGCCAATGGTAGTATCTGCTTGGATATCTTGAGAGATCAATGGTCGCCAGCTCTTACTATCTCTAAAGGTACGTACCTTCCTTGTCATTGCCGTATCTTTGCAAGCTACTCGATCTTCACATGAGCCCTATCGCTAGGAATAGGTTCTTTTCTTGGAAAAAAAGCTAAATTTTTTTGCTAATCGTTTGTCTCCAGTTCTACTTTCTATCTGTTCGATGCTCACAGATCCGAACCCCGATGACCCCCTTGTACCTGAGATTGCACATGTCTACAAGACCGATCGTGCCAGGTATGAGGCTACGGCCAGGGAGTGGACTAGGAAGTACGCCATTTAGTGATGGGCGTGGTACGGATCATGGTGGACTTGGCGGATGGGCATTCTTTAGTCTGTTTTTTTCCATTAGGGATGGTGCAAATTAAACAACCTTTTCTGATCCTCGGTGGTGGAGCTTTTATGTTTAACGGGTGGTGGGTGAACTCAAACATTGCGACTTGTAACGAAACAAACTTTAGCTGGTATCAAACTTGTGGTGTTTTATGGGGGGGCTAGGGATTCTGTAGCTGGTGTGTTGTCAAATTTGCAAATAATGCGAGAAACTGTTATATTATACTTACCCTTTGTATAGCTGTGGAGTCATGGATATCATTTTATTTGATCCCCCTAACATCAACAAGTCGCTAGGGGAGAAGAACCGCATCTTGTCTGATACAAGTCCCATATAATTGGTCCTCCCTTCCTAACCTCGCCATCCCATCCCATTAACCAGCCAGTCGCTCGCCTTCCGTTACACTCTGGTGGCTGATAGCGTAGCGGCACAAGCAACATCACCTTCTCGAACCGCTTTGCCACCTATCCCGCATGAAGCTACAGCACTCGTACAGGCGCCTATTGTCCTCAAGCCCTACAGCGTTCCGTAATTTGTAGCCGGAACAGCGCATGGATGGCCAACTTGGCTAGCCCCGTACCACGGCACGTTCGTGCCGAAGCCCCACACCGTCTTGATGCCGAACATTGCTTTGATCGCACACACAGTACTGTACTCGGGGTGGGAAGGGGTGCGGTAGGGCACTGTATCCGAGTATCATGATATAAGCCTGTATAGCAAGAGTATTATTGTTTTTATTCCATTTCTACTTTTTTCGAAAAGCCTCCAATCAAGTCGATTACCGTACCGTGCTCCGAGACCATTGCAGTCCACTGATGAGTAGACTAATCAAGTCCGAAGAACAGTGGTTTATGATAATAGGGCTGTGGTCGTACTGTGCACTATGGAGCACAGAATTTGTCGGTATGATGCTGTACCGCCTGTTATGTACTGTACGAGTACCAGCACTCAGCACCGCGTGTAATTTAGACTAGTGGTGGTGCTGAGGGGAAAATCGTGCAGACAGCCAGCGGGCCGGGTAAGCTGAGGTCTTTTCCATACCATACCAGACCATACCGTAGCATCGCGTCATGTCATCCATCACAACCGGTAATTTACTCACCAGCTCAGCGCGCCTGCTGGACCTGAAGTCGCCATGAGTTACGTTGACTCGGGCCAGTTGGAAAAGCAATCTGTTCTCTCTCTCTCTCTCTAACTTGTCTGTGTGAGTGTGATGTACGAGCACGGTAGCTTGGATATCACGGTTTCTGCACCGCGGCTCAAGAATACTATTCTTCTTTGTTGGCTGATCGAGGGTAGTATCCGGTGGGTGGAATGGATCTGATTAGGTTGTGTTTGTCTCTTTGTTCGGCAGTCTCATACCGGTGCACGAGGAGAGGTTGTGCAGTTCTATGATGGTTCTGAGCTGTGCTGTGGGGCATAATATCATACGGCACTATACGAGTACAGTATAGTACAGTACCAAACCGTGGGAACGTTGGGGCCTGGTGCAGTGGGAATTTAATGCCCTTTCTCCCCCCTCCTTCCCAGAAGGAGAAATTTTTTTTTTTTGAGGAAAACGTTCGAGATATGATATGATATATCATACCATCATTGAATAAAAAATCTAAAAATCTGAAGCAGCTATGATATGAATATGATACTACTACGAACCCCCTTCCCCGATATTTACCCTGGAGATACTCAAAGTGATAGGAACAATGAAGATCATGAAAATTGTCCACTTGGGGCAAAAAATTACTGTATACCTCTATTCCCCCCCCCCCCTATCTCTGTTTCAGCCCAACCACGGGGGTACGATATGCTCTCTCGGCGATATCATATCAATCATAAGGCAGGGGGTCGAAATATCGCTCAACTTTCGCCTAGCCAGGCAGATTTTGAATGCCCAATGGGCTGGTCAAGAAGAAGAAAGAAAAAAAATTGGGGAACTTCCCCCACTTGACGTTTACTGCTCGCGGCTTTTTTTCTTCCTCTTGGGAAACGATATTTTTGGAAAAGACTGTGATGGTAATTTGGCAAACCATCGTAGGACATGTATCATATCATAGAAGGGAAGATAGTAATAAACAAAATAGATGTGGAATTTGGGATACTAGGGGTTAGTTGGATAGAGCTCACTTGGATTTACTTACAGTAGATTTATTTGAATATATATATATATATATATATATATATAACATTGTATATATAATATTATGCATATATTCTTGCAATGATTTAAAGAGGTTTAGATAATTAGATGAGACCCCCCACGGTATTGGGGGGAAAGGGATCGCGGTTTGCTATTTGTAATTGGGTGTGTTGACCTCACCGATGGTGCCTGCCGGTTGACAAGCTTACCCTTGCCATCGACCGGATTTCAAATGTTTTCTCAAATATCTGGGGAGGACCCAAGCAAGGTATCAACTGGTGGAGGCGTTCTTGGCTAATTAGGGTATGTGAGTACTGTACTGTACGAATAGAATGGGATGTTCGGTGCAGGGTTGGCGCGCTGTGGACGCATGAGCTATTTCTTGCTATAGTAGTAGTGAATGAGTGATAGGTTGTGATGGCATTTTGGCTACGGGCTTGGTGCTTTGTTTCTTATCATTATTTATTGCTCGTTTGGCTAGAGTACAGTATAGTAGAGCGAAAGAGCCTGGAGAGCAGAATAAAAGCCGGCAAACCTGATAGAGTGGGTCGGGAGAGAAAGGGGGTGTTGATGAGAGTTGTAAAGGGAAAAAAAGAAAAAAAGAATAAGGTGAAAGTGAGATGGTTTATCATGCTTCGGGGTAGGAGGAAGTATGGCGAATATGGCCAACAGAATATCTATGTTTGATAGCCGAGACTTGGCTATACATTTTCCTCCCCGCGAAGTACAGTACGAGTTACCACAAGGAGGGTTCTTTGAGAGATAAGTGGAAAAGATGGGGACACAAAAAGCGGGCGTAAAGACAACCAACTCGCAGGCGAACAGAACTACTGCAACAGACAATGCGGTGGAATGTAAAACTTGAAAAGAAGAATATATGTGTCTAGGGGGAATGGCCCCCCCGTGAAGACGGAAACAAAGAATGGGACACCCCAAATGAAGAGGAGAATCAACCAAATACCGGTAATTGCCCAAACAGAATTAGACAGATTGTTGCAGAACACTTGACCGACGCATGCCGAAGCACTCCAACCTGGGAAGCACAAGCCGGATAGAACGGTCCTAAAAGCTTAATCGTGAAGACGACGTAAAAGGCAGAAGCCAGAGGGAAAAGCATAGCAAACGGAACCGAACTAAACCAAACCAAGCCGGCCGGTTCAGCATGCCATTTAACAAGAAAACAAAACAGGTGAATCTGGAAAGCCGGGATGCAAGGAAGGTGACAGGAAAAGAGTAAGGGATTGGACGGGATAAGTATCAACGTCCTTTCCTTCCTTTTTTCTTTGGTTTATTGTTTGTTTTTGGCTGGGCTTGCTGTTTCTCCCAGACCATCGTTGCCATTGTGAGGATGAACGGTTCGTAATCGTGCCGGTTTCTTGCCAGCTCCAAAGCCTTTCTAGACTCTTCATTGAAAAGTCTATCCTTTTCAGCCTCGATTTTCTTCTGCTCCTGGATCAAACTGGTGCGGAGTTCCACTAGTCGCTCTGCCGCCATCCCATCTTGATGTCCAAAATCATCCGTATCGAGGGGAGGGAGAATTAAGAGGCCCGATAATAGATCTCCCGTGCCCAAGGAAGAGTGAGGATCCGTATCCTGTAGCTTGCGCTCGATGGCGCCTATCTCCCTCGCGTTGGCCTGATGTTGCTTGTCTAATTGAGGTGCCTTTGCAGGTTCAAGAGCGAATATGCCGAAGTCGATGCTCAAATCAGAGCACCTGGAAGTCAATTCACGCATACGACTGCCGACGCAGACTGCAAAGTTTTCATTGTCGCAATCTCCCACTTTGAATGGTGTTTGTTTGAGACCGTCCAATTCCCACAGGCAACCTCCTACTTGGACATATGCGATGTAATGGTGAGGACCATCGATTTGGTCGGCCTGGTCCTGTGCTACATCTGCCTCGCTCTCTTTGGCCTTTTTACGCTTATGATTGTCCCTAGGTTTTAGTTCGGACTTGGAGTCCGAGTCCCCAACGGCTTCCTCGTAGAGGATCAGATCCGCCTCCTCAATTTCGTAACGGAAGCAGAATGAGTTGTGCGCATTCTTGATTGATTTAAATCCATCGACTGCCTGGCCCCTGTGAGGGGGCAGGAGCCCAAGGGTGAACTCGCGGAAACCCTCGAGTTGTGTGCCCAAGGGTACGTTGTCGAGGTTCATCAAGATGTTTAGCAGCGCATACGAGGCGCAGGCATTATCGGCAATCTATAGATAAGGTAGGTGTCAGAGGGGAGGAAGCTGTTGGGCAGGAGGGAGATATCGTACTTGGTTACTATACCACATTCCAGCAGGGAGGTTCGCCAGTTCCTCCCCCGCTTGAGTTTCGTAATGCTCATTATATGGCATGAGAAAAATAATACCAAAGCAAGATCTGATAATTTGGATTGATTAGCAATAATGCTCGGCGCAAATCGCATGGCATTCTAACGACCTACTTCTCCTCTCGGAGGTAATCCTCCTCCATAGAATAAAGTTCTCTCACGGCGACACTTTCACAACCAACCTGGCGCATAATATATTCAAAGATGGGCTGCCAGAGTCGCATTAGAATAGACGCCATAAATACGGTGGTGAACGACAAAAACTTACCGCATCGTTTAAAGTAGTCGCCCACCCTCCCCAGTTTTCCTTTTGCCCTACAATGCCCCTTATTTCAGGCGCATCGCAAGGGCTAATGTCGGGTTTAACATGGGTGGACTCTCCAATTTTATTGGAGGATGACATGTCCGCCGCTTTAACTTATATCACAATGGCAATTGATGTAAAGGAAGAAATGGTGGAAGAGGAATGTCGGGCGATTCTATCGTGGACTGATGGTGAATAGTGAGCTGGGCGAGGGGAGTGGAACCAAGCGGTGGGGGCGCGAAGGGTGAGAGAGAGAGTGTGTGCGTGGGATGAGGAAGGCGAGGTGCTAGCTGTCAGGATGGGTAGAGCCCGGAACTGGATTAGAATAGTCGACAGTTTGCCGCTAAGAATTTAATTCACGGGTGAGGATTGTCAAGGCTCAGATTACTCAGCACTTGGGTTGAACTTGTTATCTGCCTGAGTAACATAATATTATGATAAATTGAAGGGTGTCAAGGTGTCAAATCCATAAAAGCATCAACTGCTGTGGAAACTGACGCAACAATGAGTCGCAGAGTCCATTTCGGTAACCGCTATTCACACGTCTCTGTGACGGCTATTGCCATGGTGGCAGGTCGCGTCCGTGTGCATTTGATACACCTCGAAAGATACAGGTAGAGCGACCTTGGGGTAGAAGACATACTACCGGCATGTAATTTTTGAGCCAAGTCAACTCAACCGAAAGAACTGAAGCCGGATACACTCATAAAGTAGTGATCGCTGGACTAATGGATTGACCTCTCCAAAATCCCAAGCTAGGTGATGCAGTCCTAACTTATATATCGGACAAAATAAGTTATTATATGTGGCTAAAGAGATACGGGAGCAGCTTATCCTTGGACTGTGTGGTTTATCAAAAGTGCGAAATATTTCCTGAGAAGCTTTGCAGTCTAACAACTTGTAATGAAAGTAGTGATTTCAAGGTCAATGGGTATGGTTCACATCGTATGGGTATTTGATGGGTTGCAAGCCTGTATATTGAAATAAAGACTATAAAGCTATTGGTACTTTTATATTATATAATTATTATTATAATTAGTAGTACCATAAGAACTGGAATAATTGGACAGTATACCCAGCAGTTAAAATAGGGTACGTTTTACCAAGAGATCGGTATGTCAATTACTCAATATGGGTTTCACTAACTCTTGGCATCTAGTCATAATAAAAATTATTATTCTCTATGTAGTTCTGAACTATATTATCATTTTCAATATTAAGATCTCCTATCTCTGATTCACTTTTCCTAATATTTTTTTGCACATCTAATAGAAAGTGATTTGCGAATCCTTTAATAGATAAGTCATAATCCTTACTCCCATCAATGGGAAGTACAAAACCAATAATAAAAAAAGAGCAGTGAAATGCATCCTCATTTTCCTATAAAAACAACTCCAAGTTCCGTACCTCTCTAACAACATAAGTAACCACAATTCTCTAGTAACAAATCAAACTTCTGGTAAGTCTTCCTCCTTCCCTCATGGTCCCTTCCGCCGCATCGTTAATTTCTCTCAAATACTGATTTATTATGTTTCGTTTGATACTCAGATTAGCTAAGTTTTTTCCTTTAATGATTCTGTGAACAAAGTTAACTTTTAACAGGTTCTTGAAGAAGTGATTGATGGAGACATTGAGGAGTTGCACTAACTCAGTGCAACCTTCAGAGATTACATTTAGTATAATATTGTAGACTTGAAAGATATCCAGTGCCTTCTCTGTCTTTGTTTTAAACAGAGCTCAATTGCTACTAACTAGTAGTGTTGGCTAACCTTTAAGGATAGTGTAATGACCATGAAATAATGAGCTGTAGCAACCTACCTTTATGTCCAAACATGTGACCAGGAGGTCAAAGAATAGGCTAGGCAGACTTGCTGGAACATATTTAAGGAGATATCTGATGGTTTAGGTATTACTACAAGTATAAGGTATAGTGACTAGACAAAAGTCTTGTTGATAGCTTAGTTAGCAGCTACTGAGTAAGATAAAATTGACCAAGCAGGTATTGTGGAACTTCATGTATACAAAGAGCTATCACGTTATACTATTACAAGAATACCATTAAAGAAACTGACTTCTTCGTATCACAAGCTTAAAACATCATGCTGAGAGATGACTGATCCTGAGAAAGGCATAATTATTGCCTTTTTTTAGATCTTTAAATCATCTGTGGTAGCCGACCTGGTTGGTAGGCTATAGTCTACTATATAAAGGTTTCTTGCCTGGGCATGTGAGAGAGGATTGAAGAACAATTCACCATGATCTGGAACGCTGCAGATCCTGACACGCCAAGAAAAATGCATGATAATTCACACTACTGAAAAGGATCAAGGTATAATACAATTAGATTTACGTAACTGGTACCCTCATCAGCAAAAATTATTTCTGCGTCAGAGGCATGGGCAGTACGTTCTGATGCAAGGCAGCAGGATTCTGCATCCAGTGCATCCTGTGTATCTGGTACTCAGGCGCCAAGTCTGGTTGCATCCTGTGCATCGGTAACGACCCTATATTATGGAGCTATGGTAACATAAGTCTCTGCCAATATATAAGACCAAGAGGTTACATGGTAGACTAGGTGGACATGCTGGTACATATCTGAGAGAAATCTAATGGTCTGGGTTTTCTGAAGAACAGAAGGTGCTTCAGGAATAGGTGTACCGAAGTAGCAGAAATGTTATAGCTATGTCCACTCCGGCCTAGGGATAGGTCAGAAGGCTGGGTAAGTTTATGCTGTCTAGGAGAGTCACATTACACTACTGTGATAAGTACTCCATCTGTGAGTGAGGAGTCGGCTACGGCCCCTCCTACTGCTAAGAAGGTGTCTTGGGCCATTGTGGCTAATAGGCATATGGATCCTGTTGGGGCTAAGGCTACTAATATACCTCTGACGGAACGAAGAAGATGCTATAACTGTCAGGTTATGGGACACCCGTCAGTTGATTGCAAGGAGCCCAGGAAGGAGAACAAGATGCCCATAGAGGTGGCCATCCCATTACTGGTACCATCTGGAAGCAGTTTGTGGAGATCATTCAGTTTGGACAGAGATGGTGGAGTATCAGCTACTCCCACCCCCAAGACTGACAGTAAGGTCAAGGCCAAACCGAGATTGGTCATGTCCATGAAGCCTAAGGTGGCTGAGACACCCACGACAGACGAGGAGCCATCCTTCCCAGAAGGACCTGTGGCAGCTGTACTGGGTGCTTGGACAATAGTGGTAGGCAGAAAGAGCTACCTGGCAAATACTAGGTTCGATCGCGGTGACAGCAAGATGTCCACATCCTTCCTCCTCGCCAACCCTCAAGGCCAAGAGCCGCGGCCTCACCATCAGGTTCCTCAACAGGAAGTCTGCAGGATTACCGGACAGTGTCATGACTGAGACCATCCAGTCTCAAATCACCATCCTCCTGTCCAATAAGGGCAGAGTTGCTGGGGTAGTGCTGTATATCAAGGAAGCTGTGTTCTGGACTCTTATTGGTTGTATATTTATGACACTGGCACAGCATAAAGTTGGCCAGATTAGTGGAAAGCTGGAATGGATCAGAATGATCCTCCTGAAGGAGCTGGCCATTCTGGATTTCAAGTTCCAATGCAATATGGACAAAATCACAATTCGTGTGGGTCAGGTACCTCTGACAGATACAGGTCATTAATCTGTTTGGAAGATGGAATCCTGGACTGGAGACAAGGCCTATGATGGTCTTCGTCTCGATATGGAGTAATCCAACCCTGGTGTGGTCACAGCTGGACATCCTGCTTTGTTGGAATCGGCCAAGGCAATAAGGCAACACAATACCACTACGTGTGGTATCAGGTTTATGGTGGAGAAGAACGATGCCATACTGGTAGTCCTGACCAAGGGAACCGTCTGTCTGAGGGGCCACCCACGGCTGGTGAGGATCTTTATGGAACATCGCCCTGTGGTGGTGTGCTAGAAGTGTCTCCAGGTTGGATACATGTAGGTTACCTGTGCCTTCCCCCCCCATTGTCGATTTTGTTTGGGGTTACACCTGTCTAAGGACCATGAGTGTGGCATGATTCATTGCCCTAGTATTAGGGGGAATACTTGTTCTCATACCCGGAGGCTGTGCCTGCTTTGTGACAGGTCTGACCACTTTACCGGTCACATGTCCTGTATGGTAACCGAGACCCATGGTACCCCCCCCACACTCCAGCCACCTGCTCCATCACTGGAAACAGTTGACGACACTGCCTGCAAGGACTTCACTGACTAAACGATGAGGAGGAATCGATGGGAAAATGCTGGGGAATCAAGAGATGCAGAATACTGCAAGGCAGTGGAAGCATCTCATAACCAAGCCCAGGCCACCATTGTGCAAACAGAGAAGTATGCGGGAAGATGTAGGAACTGTAGCAAGATTGGACACATGACATATGAGTGCAAGCAGGCACTTAGGTACAACAACTGCCACGAGGATGGGCACACATTCAAGAGCTGTAAAAAGGAGAGGGTAGTTAGGTGCCATAACTGCCATGAGGGCAGACATGAGGCCAAGGACTGCAAGGAGGATAAGGTCAAGAGGAATAGGAACAGGAAAAGCAGGGGCAAGAAGGCCTCGTCGTCCAAAGGCAAGGAAGTTGACCCCTCCCCGTCCCCTCCCCCACCCCCTCCTGTGGCACCCCAGACACCGACTAAGAAGAATGGGCTCCTCCGAATTGGTTGTCTTGACAAGACCAGATAAGTTGGGGGCATGGTCGTGAAACTTGTTGTTGTGGGGTACACAACTATTCATGGTGAGGGCTCTACGAGCTTACATGGTTCTGCTGAATCTTCATTTTAATGTATTTTACAACTCTTATATTAAACGTTAGGAAGGGGGTGAGGAATCGGGAAGCGGCATTTGAGTTGTTTTCCTATGTTGATTTGTTTTTTGTTTTGGAGCCACCTGTTGATGCAGATAGTTTACATGTGCCGCATGAAGCCAATGGGTGGGATTTATTTTCATTTGTTAAAGGTTCAGGCATTGAGGTGTTTGTGTGCTCATCTTTGTGTGGGCTGTTTGTTGTGGCAGGGCATGAGAGGTGTTTTTCTGTGGTGCGCTGTTATGATGGTGGGGTGGTAAGATGGTTGGCTGCTGTATACCTTCCGCTCAAGGATGGGAAGAAGGTGTTTTGTAGGGAATTGGAGAAGCTGGTGGGTTGCGATATACTGTTGGGCGATTGGAATACTCGCAATACATACTGGGATCCGGCTGGCATTAACTATTGGGAGGAGTGGTTTAGGAGGTGAATGGTTGACAATCAGCATAACATGACCTTCCCGAGTAAACCCACATTTAGGAATGTGTCGAGGATCGACTTGAGCTTCCATTATGTGAACTCGATCCGCCACTGATACAGCGACGCTGTGGGATGTGAACAAATGGTACAACTGATTAAGCGGGACGCGACAGCACTGATAGACATGATCTGGACACGGCCAGCCTGGAAGAAGGTATGTTGAGTCAAAGTTGGGATGAGCCTGGACCAACTCCGTGAGAGTTTAGACGATACCCTATGGGCTAGGGCGCTGTTAGGGGGTAGGTAACTCTAAGGTCAAGTGAGTATACATTAGGCCCTATAATCTTCTGTCTTCGGAGATAGTCAAGAAGGCTTGTAAAGAGAGAAGCAAGGTAGAATGAATATATTGATAAGATCTCTTCTCTGGTCGCTGATGATAGATTTAAAAGCTAGGCATTTTTTTTTTTTTTTTGTTTAACTCATATATTCTTTGTTAAGGTACAAGAACCTGCATGGAGCGCTAGCTATGGCAAAAAGTAAAACCTTAATGTCAAAAACAACAAACGGTAACGAAATATCTCTCCGCCAGCAATCTCCACCTATGAGTAATGCAACCCACTACACCCGTCAGGGCGACTAATCACAAAAGGAACGACAAGCCTCCTCCCACATAGAGAAAACATAAAGCATGAAAAGTCAACCAAAATGAGGAAAGATAACAGAAAGAACCACGCCTTCAATCTGAAACAAGGTTGGTGCCAGGCAACGCCCTTCCCCCGCCCATAGCAGGGGGAAAGTTGCTTCTGGTATCGGAGATGTATCGTGCCAGGCCCCATAAGAGGTCCTTATCAGCCCACAGGGGAGCCTCGTAGGCCAAAGAATCAACTCCCGAGATATGGAGCAGTCTCGAGGAGGCCTTAGAGGGACAGGAGAGGACGGCATGTTGCATAGTCTCTGGCTCAAGGCTGCAGGCAGAGCAAGTTGTGGGTTTGTCTGGCT